GGCGGTGACTTGATAACAAGAAGAGCTCAAAGGGTATGTTGCATTAGGTAAGTCTGCGGCACAAGACCTCTTCAGAACACTGGAAAGCAAGGATGTTGCTTTGAGGACTGAGGTGTGCCTGATCCAAGACATAGTATTTCCCATGGTTTCATACGCTTGTGAAAGTTCGACATTGAATAAGGAGGAGCAAAGAAGAACCAATGCATTTGAATTGTGGAGCTGGAGATGAATGAAAGCACTAAGGACTACTATACGATTGAACAAATCTGTCTTGGAAGTACAGCCAGTGTGCTCCTTCAAGCTCTGGCTGGAAAGACTTTGTCTTTCCTACTTTGGACTTCTTATCAGGTGAGAACAGTCGCTGAAGAAGGACAGGCTGTGATAGGATAAAGCAGAGGGGCAGTGAAAAAGAGGAAATCCCTCAGCAGATGAGTTGACCCATTGGCTGCAACAATGGACAGACTCCATAACAGAGACCATTGTAAGAATGGCACCGGGCAGTTCAGTGTTTCACTCTGGGTCGGAACCAATTAGATGGCACTTAACAACGACAACAACTTTCCCACCTCTATGTCTTGAGTCTTCCTTTTTTGGACATTAGTTACATATTGCACATCTTTTAAGCAAGGTATTCTATTCCTAATCCCAAATGAAGGTGATTTCGAACAACCCTCACAGCTCTCATGAAACGATAGCTCCTTCTAAACAGGCTTTCATCAACATTGTCTCTAGCTTACACCAGAGAAATCCTGTACATCTAAAAGCACATCAAAAGTCTGGACACACAGGAAAAGGACTTCTCACCTCAAAGCTACCCAAAGCATAAGCTCGTGTGCTTTGTTCACACAGCTGCATCTCTGGATTCTAGAAACAGTGTCAGCACAAATAAACTTGCTGAATGGATAGATACGCATGTTCACTCAGAAGTAACAAATGCAAAGTGAACTACTTTTCAGAAAGTTTATGAGGACTTACCGGGTCCCACACCTTGCTCATTTTTGGTATGATTATTTTCCTCATCTTCTGATTCACAAATTCTCCTTCCATAGGCAAGCACGCACGGCCTATTTTAGGGAACTTTATGTGGTGGGTTCACATTTAGGTTTCCCAGGCCACATATGCACACAGGATTTCTTTCTTTGTTTGTTTGTTTTATAATTCTTTCTTTTTTATATAAATCATTTTATTGAGGGCTCTTACAGCTCTTATAACAATCCATACATCAATTGTATCAAGCACATTTATACATATGTTGCCATCATAATTTTCAAAACATTTTCATTCTACTTGAGTCCTTGGTATCAGCTCTTCTTTTTTTCCTCTCCCTCCCTCCCTCACCCTGCCACCCTAGCGAACTCTTGATAAATTATAAATTATTCTTATTTTCACATCTTATGAAGGTGGCTTCTGGTTATTTTAGTCTTCCTTACTCAGTAGCTTGCTCCATTAGTAATACATACTTCCTCTCTTTACAAGAAGAAGGGTTCGTGCTAGAATAGTTAATTTACTGAAATTTATTTCTATTTCTATTTTACAATGTATTCAGGATCTTTTACTATATGTGAAATATCTGTCTATCGAGGAATGGATTCTAAAAAGAAAGTATAAGATACACACAGACATATGCACTGATGCTCACTGCATCACTTTCACAATTGTTAAAAGATGACAACCAAAATGTTCATTACTAGACGAATAGATACGTTATGGCCTGCACACACAACGGGATACTATTCACTTTTAAAGACAAAGGAAATCCGGATGCATGCCACAACAGGGATGGGACTCTGAAAACATCATGCTGCACGATTAAGCCAGTTGCAAAAGTACAAATACTATATAACAACATTTATATGAAATAAGAAAATATATTAAAACAAAAATTTATTAGTGGTTACCAGGAGTGTAGGGGAATGGAAAGAGGGGCATTGCTTAGTGGCATTGAGTTTCTTTTAATGGTGGTGAAATGGTTTCGTAAAGGATAGTGAGAACAATTGTACAAAGTGAAGAATATAATCCAGTGTTTTCCAAAGTGAGCAATCCAACCCCCTGGGGAGCTGGAATGATCCAAGGGAGCTATAAAAACAAATACCTGTACTTTATCCTGGATTATGGGCTGCAGTACAGACTTTTAAAATTTCTAGTGGGTGCTGTTTTTTTTTGTTTGTTTGTTTTTTTCTGAAAAGAGGTGGAAAATGAAATAAATCTGGGAACTTTTGAAATCAATGCTAGTGAATTGTACATGTAGCAAGTATGGTGTATTTTTCATCAGAGTAAGGAGAATGTGTTCAAAGTAGGTAGCTTTTAAATGTGAAATCTTATTGTTTTGAGGATATAGTAAATGTTAATAATCTGTCATTTCATTACTGGGGGTTCCCTCCCTCACCAGTAGATTGAGTAGCTGATGTTAGTGAGGAACGCCAGTCAGAGTATGAAAGCTTTCAAGGTCTTGAACTGTAAGATCTGGGAACACTTCCTGCAGCATTTATTAATTTAAGTCACATTTGATAAATGGCCAGCCATTGACCTAGGTGAAGATGGATCGATGAACAAGATCTCTGTGGGAACTCAGTTTAGCTTAAGAGATATAAGTGAACAGATGGAGTAATCACGATGGAATGTGATTAACTGTTGTTAATCATTAAAGGAAAGAATTCAACAATGTATTTGTATGTGCCATACAAATGGTTTATGCTCAACCACTAACCTAAAAGCTGGTTGTTTGAATGCACCTCTCAGTGCTTTGGAAGAAAGACCTGGTGACTCTCTTCAATAAAGATTATAGTTATTGACAATGTTGTGAAGGGCGCACACAGTTCTGCTGCTCTGGCATGCACGGAATGTCCATGAGCAGGAATTGGCAATGAGCGGTGTTATTCACACTTTCAAATGGTTTTATTACATTCTTGTTCTCTGGATACTGGCCACCCAGAGATAATACTGTTTTATTAATGATAATATATTCAATACCTTGACTATACCTATGTCATGGTTCATTTTACATGTTAAGATCATACAAATATAAAAAATAAATAAACCCTCAATTTTTACCACAGGGGAAAACTGTGTACTTGTTCTTTCTACAGTTAATGGGTAATTTATTTTATCTCTCGTTAGCATTTTATGATCCCTTTCAATTTCCAGGAATTTAGAGGCTCTTTCTAGTTTTAGAAAGGAGAAAACAATGTATTTTTGTGTGATACTAGTTTTTCACTTCGGTGCTGGGAGTATTTAAGTAAAATTAAAAGTGCATACGTCAGTGATAAATTCACACACTTTAATTGGAAAAGACAGGCATAGTTAATAGTTATGGATTCAAATGAAATTAGGAAAAGCAATTGTAATAATGTCACAACTGCTCCAATCTAATTCCCCTAGGGTGCGGTGGATATGCTTTACTGATGGTAACTAAAAACAACGTAAGATGATTTCCACAAAAGCGTTCGATGTGTACATTTATTTGGGCAGAGTACTAGCTATTTTCTCCGCACTGGGCTCTTATAATCACTAAAATGTTAATTCTTTAGCTCCCTGTCTCCTTCAAGAAGGCAATCACTGCTTTCCTTCGAAAGCTAGAAACTTAGTCCAGTCCTCTCTGAAAGTGAAATCTCTCCATTACCACGAATGCCTGAAACTCCTAGTTCCAAGTGCATGGAGAAGATCATGTGGTTTCTTTATCCCTTTGAGCTGCATTCTGCACTTCTCAGCTCCCAGCTCTGCCTTGGAAAGCTAGTTTCAAACAGAACTCCCCGCCTGCTGTG